TGGCCTCAAGGAAACAGAGGGGACCTTACTCTCTGCCCTGCAGAGCTAATTGAGAAGCACAATTAATTATCTTGCTGTACTCACAGCAGAGGCAAAGGGGCAATTTTCTTCTGGATGAAGAATTATCACCTCCTACCTTCCTTTGTTCACTATTTGGCCAACCAGCAGATATTGAGACTGCTGTCAGGACTTGGGCTGGGAAGGTGCCTTCTACTCTAGTTCTCTTCCCAAAGTGCAGTTGCTGGCATTCAGGATTTTCTGTGGATCTGCTTTTCATCATTTATTTATTCCAGCAGTATTTGTGGCCCCTACTGTATACTCAGACAAATGTGGGCTTAATCATATAATTTATTGTCCAAACTAGGACACTTGTGAGAGGAAAGGAATGCTATTATCTACACCAGGACAACAGGTATAAACTCAGACTAGCTGGAGCCAACCATGTCTGGTCCCACCTTTAGGAACTAGTGAAGAACAGAACTAGTGAAGGACTCTGCCAGAGGGAGGTCAGTCTCCACCCAGGCCTGGGGCCCTTCAGTGAAATTAATGGGTATACTGCCGGAGTGTCAGCAGGATATGGTGGAGACCCTCATATTCCCAGTTTCTATCAAGTGGAGAAGAGGGGATGCTGTCAGCTGGGGACTGGTCCCAGGCTCTAGTGGGGATAGGGATGGAGCCAGAAAATAGATCTTCCCTTTGGCAATGCCAGTTGATTCTCTGTGCCTTTGTTCTGTGTACTAGAACAGGACTCTGGCCTGTAGTTAATCCAGGTCTGGGTGGAATACCCAGGAAAGGCCAGTGCACTCAGTGAGTGATTCTAGAGTTCCAGTTGGGGCTGAGCCCTTGCTGTGGGCATAAAGACCAGCATCTGTTCCCACTCCAGCAGTGAAGCTTTCACAGCCTGCTGTAGGAGCCCCCAAAGGGCTAATGTCTGACTGATGCTGACAGGAAGGTTTCTGGAAGGGACTGTTGTGTAAGACTTCCAGGTGAAGGATGAGGTTACTATGATGGTTATGGGATGGGAGAACCATGCTACAGCCCTTTGTGAGAGGCCTTAAGGCCTCCAAAGAAATCCTTAGCAGGAAACCTGGAGAAAACTCAATCATGGCAAGGCAGTGAAGTCAGCCCACCCTCTGTTCACCTCACCTGCTAATTAACATATCTAAATGGCACCATCCCCTCAGGAGAATTAGTTGTGCCTTGAGGGCAGAGCCCAGAAACCATACTGGGCATATTGATGGGTAAATTTACATGTTTTTAACATGCCTCCTATCCTGCTAGCTGCTGTCCCTTAGAGGGTTCCAGAAGGAGGTCTCTCACCTTTACTCTGTGCAGTGTACAAGTGTGCATGCAGGTGATATATGGAGCAGAAAGAAGAGATAAATGCTTCCTTGTCCACTGGCTTCCACACAGAGATCAGACTCATCACAGGGCTTGTTGCCTGAGGATTCCTCCACCACAAGTGAGCCTGGAAACATTGGTTTCTAAAACCTACTGCTAACAGTAACCCGGGTACCTCTGACCTGAAGTTCAAGTGTGTTCCCAGAGCAGTGGGCCCCGCCAGGCTCCCCACTGAGGGATCTGTTTCTTCAAATCCATGGGTGTCACCACAAAACCCTCCAATCCTGGGTGAAATGTTACCCTAGGAAAGGACTACAATTGGGCCTCATGGACCCAGGTCTGTCCTCATGTGCCCCTGGGACGTGTACAGGCCTGGCCTGTTCTGAGTGTGCCCTTCCCTGTACAGTCCCTCCTGAGTCAACTTCATCCCCTCTGTGTGTGCTCCCCTCTGCCCATGGGCTCTGAGGTTGCTCAGGACAACAGGCTCCGCACACTGGGCACCAGACCCACTCCTGTTTGTCTCTGCAACTGTCAGAGAAGCCTGGGCCTGGATGGTGGGAAATGAGAACCAAGTGGAGGGCTGCTGAGGTTCTTGTGCCCAGGAGGGTTGTCTGGCGTGGCAATGTTGACAATGCAGGACTCTGAGGACAGACGCAGACTGCAGAGGCCAACTTGTTCTCTTCCCACTGTGACACGTGGTAATGGACGCTGAGAGACCCGCCAGGCCAAGACTTAAATCCTATTCATGAACTTCACCTTGTGCTGTTTTCAGAGCTGTTTGTTTCCTATGAGCTTGTGAGGGTCCAGAAACAGGAAGATGCCCTAGTTCTGTCACTGCTGTCTCTGGCTTACAGTGAGTTGAATGAATGAATGTATGTGCACCCGTCTCTGGGTCTCCTTACTTTTTCCTGGAAGTTTCTGTGAGTTCCGCTGTACATGTTCACTGGGCCTTCCTCTACACTGTTTGCCTCCACATCAGAGAGCCATTTCTGTGCAAGTCTACACATGGGATAACTTCCTGTGTGTGTCTTAGCTTCACCTTGCTTTTTGTCTTCTCTCTGCCAGTCAGCCACCCATCTGGACACCAGGGCTCTTGACTCTTCAGGCCACGAGGTGCTCCTGGAAGGGAAATACAGCCTTCATCTGCTGCTTCCTGCTCCATAGATACTCCACCTCCTGCCATTGCTGCTGCTACCTCAGTCATTTGCTGGTTCATACCCCAGCAGGCGCTTTCTGGTTTCACTTTAATGATGGGCAAGGGGCTTGGAGCCAGACTAGGGCCTGAGCTTTGTCTCAGTGGGACCAGGGGGCTGGAGTGAGTAACCTCCTTGTGAGCTGGAGTCGAGTCCCCCCATCTTTATAAACCAGGGAGGGTTTAAAGGTTAGGCAGGAGAGCCTGAGATTCTGGGCACTGGAAGCTGCCTACTACAGAGGAGGAGAGTCCGCTAATGAGGCCACTCTCCAGGAAGGCTACTCAGCCAGGGACTGCCAGCACTGAAGCAGACAGTAATGAGGAGTGACTGGGCTGCAAGAAGCAGGTGCCTAACAGGGTTAACGAGTGGGGACCCAGCAAGATGGCTTAATGGCTGTACTGGCATTTCAAGGGCAGAGCTCTGCAGGGGCCAACCAGGAGCCTGGTAATGAGGGGATGAAGAGCTGGGATTGAGAGGAAGCAAGTCAGATGGCTAAACAAAGGTCCACAGCCTGATGCTCTTCATGGTACTGGCCTGGATGGGCCTTTGGCCCCTCCAGGGAGCAGAGGACAGGAAGGGTAATGAGCTAGATCTGAGGAGCACTGATGAGTGCCAGGGACTTGGTACTGAGGCCTGCTGGCAGTAACCGCACTGATGAGCCCAGGCTTGACAACCAAAGGAGCTCTCCAAGTGGCCTCATGGCAGAGCCATTTGCACCTCTTTGCAGTGCAAAAGCTTCTGTAATGCTAATGGATGCGGCCATTACTGGGCCTCAAGGAGGCAGGATGACTTTCCAAGACTAGTTCTATCTCTTGAGAAAGCCAAGATAGGGCACTCCAGCCTCCTCCCAGCCTGATAAGAGAAGCAGGGCCAGAGCCTGGTCTGTATCATACTCTGGTGCCCTGGCACACTGGGGGTAAGTCTAAGCATTTGCAGTTCATTTTTTTCAGCCACATGGAAAGAGGACTTCAGCAGCCAGCTGATAGAACACTTTTGATGGTAGATTGCACTGTGATTGGGGGCATACATCTCAGAAGATACTGTTTCTCCATACTGATTTGAAAAACCTTAGCATGCATAGCTATAAAAAAAATGAAAAATAAATGGTCCTGAGTCCTGATTCATTCTGTCAATAAAATTCATCCGTACATTCCTGAACAATTAAATTCCTATCAATTTCATTAACGTGTGTTGTTAATAAATTTTCCTTTTACTGAAATTAAAACCTTTCAGTATCCATTGTTGCTTTAATCAATTGTTTCCTACATTTTATATAAAAATAGCTGTAATAACTCAATCTAGAAGATTCTTTTTTTTAAAAAAAATCTTAAAATATTTGGGCACAGGAAATTAATTAATTTCAGTTCCTAAGGAGATTTTGTGGCATAGAAGTATGATAAGGTAAGCTGCAAAAGACTTTCAACCATTAAAATATGGCACTACTATAAAATCCTATAGGGATAGCCAGTCAAATGAAGATAGCAGTTTTGTTTTGTTTTTAGATACAAATTAAAGAGAAAGAGAACAATGCAAAAATTTCCACTTGTGGAGGAAGAGCTGGTTTGAGATTTTTTTTTTAGACAGGTGAGGGTGGATTATACATCACTTGGAGTTTAGATTTCACTTGATGTATTTTAAAGTGTTGTGGCAGTTTTATTTTAAAATGTAAATATTTACCAAATCCCAGAATCACATCCTTTGCGTGTTTTAAAACTTACTAAATGCCAAATTTAAAATGTACAAGATGCCTCTGGGGATGTAGCTCAGACATAAAGTGCTTGCCCAGCATGTGCAAGGCCCTGGGTTCAACTTAAAGCACTGGAAAAAAATGTACAAGATGTGATATATGATTTTTCAAAATTTATTTTAATGGGAGTACCTCTAGCAACAGCCCTTTCAAACCAATGGTCTGGTGGCCTCTCCCTTCACTTCAACTCTTGCCACCATCCCCAAGGGGTGGGGGTGGGGGAGGAAGCCAAGTTGGAGGTGGTCCTATTGGTTGTTGCTCTTGGAGTCTAAACCTGCCCTTCCCTCCAGATTCCAGAACCTTGACTTCTGGGTTGGACCTAGGGGCAGACATCAGCTTGAGGGAGTGAGAAGGGACAGGTCTACAGGCACTTTGACCATGAAGACTCTAAGCCTCCCACAGGTCAGAGAGGAAGGTCTACCTCGGGCCAGGGCCAGTTTCTCTGCTAACAAGGGTAGACATGGCTGTGCCCTACAGACTCAGCCTACATCCTTGGCCATACCACTCATCCCATATCTGGTCACTTGACCTGAGAGGAGGCCATCTACACAGAGGTGTGGTTCATTTTAAAGCAGAGACATTGTTCTGAAGAGGAGGCTGAAGCCCAGTCCAAGTTGGGGCTGGGGAATTCCTTCCAATCACCAAAAACATACTTTGGTTTCTGCCCCCACATTTCTGCTCCCTGTTTTGTCCTAGATTTCTATATCCAGTTCGCCTGAGTGTGGCTGTGCTGGCTGTCTCTTCCCCCCGTTCTGCACCTCCAAGCCCTCAGTCTGAGCACCAGGAGGTTTCTCAGGAGGCAGCAACCTCCAGGAGCCTCAGGGGCAGGAGGGCAACAGGGCCTCCCCTCCCTCCATAGAGAGGGACAGTCTGGTCAGGGACATGGGACAAAGGAGGGAATCTTCTCTAGCTGACAGCCCCTGAGATGAGTCCAGCTGCATTTATCCTTGACTCCTCCAACTGCAGAGGGCGCTGTTGAGTGTGGTGGTGGAAGGCAGGAGCCAAGTCTATCACCTGGCTGCTGGCACTGTGGGTGGGACAACCAGCTGTGTGATTTGAGCAGGACCTTTCCTGCTTTGGGTCTCAGTATCTTTATCTGTGAATGGGGGCTACCGTGAGGATCCAGCAAGAGAGGCTGGGGTGGGCAAATGACTGTAGACATCCAATCTGCTCTTCTTGGGGGCTCCTGTGATGTCCCTCTGCTCCTCTTGCATGGAGCCTTGTGGCTGCAGCAGACCCTGGTCCCATGGAGCCCCTTTCACGGCTGCACCCCCTTTCCTGCCAGGCTTCCCTTCCTCTCTGAGTCCCCAGGGCCTTTGTAGAAAGGAGGACCCAGGGGAAGATGGTGGAGATGAAACTACCTGGATAGTGGAGGAGTGGGGGCAGGTGGATGACAGAGGGGTCACACAGCAGCAGTCTGTTTGATGCTGTGGAAGCTGAGCCTGGTGGGTGACGTGGGGATGGACATGGCCCGGGCCACAGGCACTCTGAGGGAGTGATGGTCCTGCCAGCGGTGCCACCGTTTCTTCACAGCTGAGCGTACCTGCAGGGAGGAAGTTTAGTCACCAGCCAGGCCAGGTCTCTCCCTGCTCCCTGACCCTCCTAGGGCTGGTTAAGGGAGGCCAAGTTGGCCCTTGTACTGCTGCCCATACACCAAAGGACCGATCAGTCCCCAAACTGAGGTCTTCCCCAGACCCTGTTGCCTCCTCTGAAGGGCTCCCTTCCCCATCCCTCTTCTGGAGAGGCCAGCCCTATACTTCCTGTGCCTCATTTTCCTGAGTGTTCTGGTTTCCTGTGACACTGCCACCTCAAATTTAGCATCCTGGGCAGGACCAGAGGCTTTTTAAGTCAGTCCCTGCAGCTCTCCAGGGCCTTGCTGTAGCAGGTGTTACAAGGGTGGCCCAGGTTGCATGCCCTGCTCCCTCATCCTACATAGGGGCCTTCTCCCTCCTTGCCGTGTAGCCTGTATCTTTCCTGCCACTCAGCACACTCTGCCGGAGAGGGAAAGCTATCAGTTCTGCTCATTTCTACACCCCATCGGATCTGTTCCTGTTTGTATCGTAATGCAAGAATTCTGTAAAATGGATCAGTCTGGCATCCAAGCCTGACACATGGTTTGAACAGAATAAAATTCCATAAGCACCTGTTGGCATTCACTTTAGCAGCTCCTGCTCCCCCTTGCCCAGGCCCAGATTTAATTGACATGCGACCTTATCTGCACAGATACCCAGCATAGCCCTGTGCAATCACAGGTCAAGTGGCCTCTGGAAAACATTTGGGTTCCTCCAGAGTGTTTGAAAGCTCACAAGCCTTGGGACTCTGTCTGCTCTTTGCTGTACCCCATACCCTGCTCATGGATTTCATCCTCCATTGGCACATTCTTTGAGGTATCTGCTCTGGAATTCTAGGCCTCCTTAGCTGACCACCCCCCAGAGCCTGTCTACTATGTGTGGTCTTTTTCTGTGGTGGTCTTTTCTGAGTCCATAAAGAAGTGATTGCATGGCATAGGTGTTTCCCCTTTCTGCATGCTTCCTCCTGTCACCACCTCTGCTCTAGTTTCTCTTTTCCATAAGTCCTTGCAATTTTGATGCCCTGCCCACCCGGCTCTGAGGTGTGCATGGGGCACTGACATGTTATTTCTGGCCTGCTTAGTAGTTGACCTTCTAAACTGGTCCCAGGCCCTTCAGGAGGAGTCCTGTTTCCCTAAGGTATCTCTCCTTAGCTCAAGGCAGAGCTAAGCAGAACCAGGGACCAGGCTCTTCTGAAAGGCTGGGCAGCTTGACTAGAAGTACTCTAGAGTTGAGTCTGAGTACACTGGTGTCCTGAGTCTGAGGACACTGAGAGCCCAGGCCACCCCAAGGGCCCAGTCTTGTACCTCTCCATTGAAGAAGCAATAGAAGACAGACACAAAAAAACCCTAGAAAGGAAGGAAGGAGCAGTCAGAGACCTGCAGAGGATCCACCTGGCTGAGGATGGGGTGGGGATAGGGTAGCTGGGGGCTAACTGGCCAAGACCCCAGGGATCAGAAATGGGTGGAGCCTCAGAAGTCATGGCTTCAGCCCTGTGATACAGGTACATCAGAGTCCACTCTGAGTGAGGGGTGGTCTCTGGCCTAAAGCCAGAATTCCAGCCCTCAACATTCTGTACCTGTTCCAAGGCCTCAGGCTGCAATCACCCTGAATCCTCAGAAGCGCTGGGTACCTGAGTCCCAGGTTGGTGGGGTTGTGGGGGGTTGGGGGTGGGGTGGAACCAGGGCTTAGTCCAGGCAGCTTGCCCAGTGTCTGGGGCTGGGGTGAGTTCTGAGTATGCAAGCACTTGTGTTCTCAGCTCGTGTTAGCACAGCCCATGCCTGAGCATCCAGGCCTGGAAAGCTCACTGCCACATAGGGGAGGGGGGAGGCCCACCTGGAAGGACTGCAAACCTGGAAGGACTGCAGGAAGGAGTTGAAGTAGATAAACACGATCTGTGACAGGTCATCCTCACCAGGGTTGATAAAGAAGAGCATGTAGGTGATGCCCAGCAGGGGCAGTAGCACCAGGGTGGCTTTCACCGCCTTCCTGGGGGACAAGAGGGTAGTAACGGGCTTGAGCTCATGCTCTAAGCTCATGCTTCTGCTGGGAACTTGAGCCAGCTCCCTGGTGAGGACTCAGAGGGCCCTGCCTGGAGGTAGGGGGACCACTCAGATGACCTCCTCATTTCCCCTGGGTCAAGGCACACAGGTGTTCACATACCTGTACTGAATCGTCTCTGATGTGGTGGATGCTCGCAATTTTGTCATTAGGATCCTGACAATGTTGAACAGAAATACAAAATTGATCTGAAAGAAGAAGGAAGAGAAGGAAAAAGGAAAGACTGTGAGTGGAGGGGGTGGCGGGCTGAGAGGTAAGCCACTCCTACCCCCCCAGATCCCCTGAAAACCCATCTCCCGAACATGCCCTCCAGCCTCTGCTCTTCCCTGACAGCACATGGAGATGCCCCATTGGCTCCAGGGCCTGCTCTCCACCCCTGCCCCAGGGAGAGTAGAGGCCACCCTTTGGGACAATTCAGAAAGCCCCAACCTGCCCTGCTCAGGGATCCCACACAGCCAGACTCTAGAGCTCTCCCTAAGCTCCTCCTCTCAGCCATAGGGTCCCCACTTGTTGACTGAGGGTCTCTGAGGCCCGCAAACTGTCACTGGGTCCAGGTTGGCTGAGGTCCTTTCAGCCCTGCTCTGGGCGGGGGCAGTGGCAGCCAGATGGAGCGGTTAGTACTCCGTTGCTCGTGGAAGGAGTGATTAATCACACCACTGCCCCCGCACCTTGGAGCCTTTGCAGATACCCCTAGTAACCTTTGTAGACACCCCCAGTTGAGGAAGATGAATAGGCTGCTGGGCGGCTCTGGGGCTCCTGGAAGGACCTCATTTATCTTCATTCCAAGCCTCCCCTGTGCGTGGGAGCCACCCCCAGCCTCTGCCCTCCACCTACTGGCTAAGCTCTGCTTCCTGCCGCTTGGGTCTCCATTCTCTATTCTCAGACTCCAGCCTGTCCTGCCTCCTCTCAAAGAAACCATTCCAGCCCTTCAGCAAGCACTGGCTATTGTACCCTGAGGGTGTCCAGCCTGGTTTCTGGTTTTATTTGACCATTCTTTCACTGAACCAATTTGCCATATGCCAGGCTTTAGCTAGGCACCAACAATGAGGAAGTGGTAGGCAGACAGGACCCCTGCTTGCAGAAAGCTTGTGACCTACTGGGGGTAGATGTGTATGGGGAGAGATTATATCCTCTTAAGGTCTGGAGTGATGTGAGAACTAAAGGTGAGTCAGTGTTAGCCAGTGAAGCTGGGGAATCCTTCCAGGCAGATACCAGGCCTAGAGAGAATGGCCTGGGACAGAAGGAACCAGGTCCCCAGATGGCTGCCAGTGTGTCTGCAAGTGATGCTACAGGAGTACCGGGACAAGTTCAGAGAGGGAGATGGAGCTGCCTGGGCCCAAAAGAAGAATCTACATCTTTCATCAAGGAGCCCTTGCAGGACCCTCTCACCAAGCCCAGAATGTTTCTGAGGATGGCCCACTTGGCTGGGCTCTCGGGCTGCTGCAGGTGAGAGGGTACTGGTGCAGATGAGGCCAGCTGCAGCAGGCTCAAAAATAAACAGACCTGGCTAGTTGCTATTTAATGGGCAGTCTGTAAACCACCCTGGATCTGCTGGGGAGGCAGGACACATGCTAAATCACCAGCTGGTATTCAGGATCCCCTCTTTGTTCCCACATCTTCAGCATTGACATGTGTGCAGAGGGCAGGGATGGGGAGAGAGAAAGGAAGGGAGAGAGGGAGAAAGGAAGGAAAGAAGGAAGGAAGGATGCTCCCAAGGCCTGGGGCCTCCTCTCCATGCCTGGGTTTAAAAATGGCAGGAACTGAGTGTGAAGTAACACAGAGAGAGAGAGAGAGAGAGACCAGGAGCCAGGGCACCTGGTCTATCTCCATCTTCCTTCCTTCCTTCCTTCCTTCCTTCCTTCCTTCCTTCTTTCCCTGCTTCCTTCTTTGTTACAATATGACTATCATTATTTTGTCTCCTTATTGTAGAAATGAACTAAGAAAAAAGAATCTTTTCCTTCAGGCCAATATGGCCATCTTGTGTGAAACTTTTTAAAATATAATTCTTCAGACTATTGACTTAGAACTTACAGGGGAAATGGTATGGCACCCATAGACAGTGTGGGGACATGCTGGACCATGTGCTCCTGCCTGCTAGATCTAGTTCTATCCAAAACAAAGTAAAATAGTATTAGCAGTCATTCATAGAGTAGGTGCAAAAACCATGGGTTAGTCTTCAGTTATAGGGCAATGAAACCAATTGCCTCAGCCCTATCGCCCATATAAGTATGTCTCAGACAATGTAGTTATCCACGTCGAAGGAAGAGGAATTCATGAAACCTATTTTTAAAGTATACATGCATGACAAGGGAACCCTAAATGTGATGCATATTTAAGGAGAGGAAGCACATGACACTGTAGCATGAAACTGTTCCTTACACATAATTTATATAACAGTAAACAGGATGCCAAATACCCAATAAGGAGCTCCTCAAATGCTGTTTGCAGCTAAATGGATGGAACTAAAGAACATCATGTTAAGCGACGTTAAGCTGGGCTCAAAAGGTGAAAGGTTGCATAGTTTCCTTCATATATGGAAGCTATGATTCTATAAGATAAATGTACACATAAATACATATATGATCTTACATACACAGACAAACATACACACACACACACATAGAGAGAGAGAGAGAAAGTGATTGTATTAGTGGGTCTGTTTGAGGGGACTACAGGAGGCTGGAGAGTGAAAGAGAATGTGAGATAGTGAGAAATATTGAAGCATTGCATCTGGGAACAAAGATGATATAATGTAACTCACTGTAATCTGGTTCTATCATATCCTGAGGCACATTTGAGTAAATGCCCAGGATAATATCTTGGTCCTGAGTGGACTTCCAGAAGCTCTGCACATCTCAGACCCTCCTCCTCACCCGTGCCCAGCTAACAGCTCCCTGTACCACACATGCTCCAGGAACACATCTATCTCCCAACATGGGTCTATAGAGTCTGTGACTTGTTGCCAGGGAGCCCCTCAAGATGGAATTGGGGGTGCCAATTTCATCTTCCCTCAACCTGGTTACCAATCTGTTTCACAGTTCCTGGGAGACTGGTTCTCTCTGGATGCCTGAGTTTTCTAGCTAGGCAAAGCTCCAAAGACCCAAATCCTGAGTCCTACTTCATGCAGGACCTTGATGGGCCATGAAGAAAGCCCAGAACACAGTCTTCTCTGCCCAGGAGCCGAGCATATCCAGGACCCAGGGTGGGAACAGCAAAAGCCCTGCTAGTTGCTGTTACAAGTGTAGGTTCCCAGTAGTAGCTTGGATCAACTGGGATGCTCCTGGGAGGTTTGTGGACTAGAAGCCACCATCCATGGACTGCAGGACTCAGCTTTAGCCAGACAGACCTGATGTGCTGTATGTTACAGAGGCCCAGCCTGCATCTGCTGGGCCCCTGGCAGGGACAGTGCCCAACATGAGGCACCTCTGGTGTCATGGAGCAAGCTCAGCTCAAAAACAGGGATAAATAGGCAGCTTCCCCACCTCCCACCTTTGAAGGGTCAGTTATAGGAACTTTGTGTACAGTTCCTCAGAGGTGTCATAATGAGAGGAAGCCTGACTGTCCTGCCTTACCTGTCCCAGCTTTCTGGGACAGGCCTTCATCAGAGGGCCTGGTGGGCCATCTTTGTCTACCTTGGAGATCATTACCATTCATCTCTTCTGATTTCCTTACTCCCCTCCTTTTGGTGACTTCCAAGGTTCACTGGACTCCATCTTTGGAGTGTCCTTGAGCTGAAGGTTTTTCACCACTGCCTAAAATTTCACTGTCAGGCTCTGTCTCTCTACTTTTGCTCCCACCATCTTGTATGCATTGTGAGACTACCTTCCAACTTAATACCTGGTTTGGAGTCCTAGTCTCCTAGCTCAAATTTCCACTGTTCAAGTGGCATTTTTGTGGCCTTAGGCCCATTGCTAACCTCTCTGAGCTTCCACTGCTCACTGGGGACAACCACACAGCTTGCCTTGCAAATCAGCACAGGATGATAAAATTATGGAGCATGAAGCCCTGAATCTGGCCTAATGAATGCCACATCTCTCTCCCAGGGAAACAACCAGCAAGAAGTCAGGTTTCCTACATACTCCACCACCCAAATCACTTCCCAGAACCAGAAATAAGTAGGTGTCTCTTTGCAGCAGAAATATAGCTGTTTTAAGTGGCTAGGGACAGGGAGGCAGTGAGACCTCCAACCACGAGGACGGCAGGCAGGTGGTGACCAGGCAGGCGACCTGTCCTGTGCCTCAGCTCTGTCAGCTGTAAGTGTGACCTTGGGCAAGCTTCATCTGTATCCTGGAGAGCATAATCCCTACTTTTGCACTTCAGGGATGTAAGGATCAGAAGTAACACAGAGCTTGTGGAAGGGCTCAACTTGGAAACCCAGAAACCCTTGTCTTTGTAATAACTGGGAGGAAAGGCAAGGTGGGTGTGGAGCCAGAAAAGGGGCACACCTCACCTGAGGAAGCAGGAAGCTGGGTCTCCAGGCCTCATCTCCCCTTCTCTGTCATTTCCTTACTCCTGCATCATTGGTCCCCAACTATGCCAGCCTTTCTTGGCAGGGTCCCAAGCTCATCAAAAGCTCTATCTCTCCACTATGGGCTTTCAGCAGCTGGCTGGGAGGGAATGGATCATAGGGTTTCCATTCACTCTGAGGGGTGAGTGACTCACTGCAGCTGGGAGTCCAAGGACAGTCCTTCCCCCACCTGCTGCTGACAAGGACTGACTTCTGCCTCTGAAGGAAGTAAAGCCCTGACTGTGGCAGTGGGTGGAAAACTTCATAGTTATCATCGGCTCAGATCCATCAAGGACGTGCCAAAAATGGGGTCCAGTGAATTCCAGAAGTCTCAGAAAGGAAGGGAGTAAGGAAATAAAAGAGATGAATAGTAGTCGTTTCCATGGTAGACGAAAGACCCACGAGGCCCTGCTGTATGCACGGGAAGGACCACCTCTTTGTGTTTTCCAGAAGGCTCCGTGGCCCTTTAAGGAAGCTGGTATACACAGGAGACTGAAATTACCACGCCTGAAATAAGTCTTACGTAAATGCCAATTTCTTATAGGGCTCTTTGTATGTTATTTTTTTAAAAATGTATGATATATAATGGGTTCTTTTTTGCGGAATGCAGCCTCTACTTAAACTCTCTCTTAATTAAAGCTCGTTGTGGATTAAAGACACGGCAGCAATTATACCTTAGATGGGAATACATTTGGTAAAGGGCGGGGAGCTGGATGAGGAACAATTGCTCATTACTCCGCATTTGGTAATCTGCTGCTCCAGGCCGGGGGTGGTGGGTGGGGCCCGAGAGGGGGTCGCTGGGGGCAGAGAGGAACGCAGGTCTGGGCTGAACAGAAGCCTGCAAACCCTCTCTTGCCACCAGCTGCCTGCTCACCTGGCTATCTCAGCACTGTACTTGGCAAGGGGCCATCAGACCAGGGAAGGCACTAAAACCTACCTGGTCAGGGTTTTTCTCCATCCAGAGAAAGAACCCGAGGTCCAGAGAAGCACCCAGGGCTGCCCCAGGGCACAGAGCCTGAGGAAGGGATTGCTGGGTGGTGATGAGAAGCAAGGTGGCGGGTAAGGGGGTAGCAGAGTAGGCTCAGGTTGCTGCCCCGGCCATATCTTTTCCTCTGCTGTCCTCCCCATGCTCCAGCCCCCACCTAGTCCCCACTGAGAACCTACCAAGAGCACAAGGATGATCGGGCCCTGATAGATGTAGTCCACCAGGTCACCAGGCTCCTTGCCAAACCAGCACCTGCAAAGATGGGGTAGCTGTTGGTGGCCTCCTGAGCTGAGCCTGGAGGACCACTCCCAACTTGGAACCAGAGTCCTCTTGACTTGGCCCTTCCTGAGCCCCAATCTCCAAGACCCTAGGCTATCTTTGGCTCCACCTGGTGGGTCTGGTCTCCCCAGCTAGGTTGAGGGCAGGCCTGAGGTTTCCTATTCAGTCCCCTCCCCCACTGCAGACTGTAGGGCCCAGGGATGGGCATGCAAGGAGGTACAGGAGTGAAGGGAGAGCTGTGCTCTCCCTCACTGGCCTACAGCCTAACTGCCCTGGGCCACCTGTTCCCATGTTGCTTGGAACCTGAGCTCTGTGTTCCAGGCATTCTGGACACAAAGCAGCAGGTGTGGGGATGGAGCTTTCTCCCATCCTGGGTCCCGTCTTCAGTCTTTGAACTGAGCTGCCTGCACCCAGTGAATGTAGCCTACCACCTGGCAGGCCTTGCTGGCTGCCAGAGGCTCGGTTTATTCTCCAGGAATGCTGGTCATGGGAGATGCTTTAGGGTCCCAAGGAAGGACTGGGCCAGGTCTCAATCTGCCTCTGCCAGAAATGATCAGACCTAAGGAAGGGTCCACCGACCTTGGGATATTTTGTGTCATCCACAGCCTCCAAGATCATCCAGTATATCTCAGCCTCAGCCAGGAATCTCCTTTCATCTGAGTTTCTGGATTCTGCTTGAACACCATCTTTGATGGGAAGCTCACTACCTATCACAGCAATCCTCCCATTCCCTGGCAATTTTTACCTTTTGAGCCTTTCCTAATGTTGAGTTCCTGGGAACTCTACTCCACCTCTGAATCCCATCTGCTCTCTCCAGTCCTGAGAGTTGCTCTCACCTAGGCTGTGGCCCAGGACACCAGTCTGGTTCAGGGAGGAGCTAGGATGGGCCACTGGCACCCAGGCACAGACTGGGATAGAATAAGCTCTTGCTGGACTCCATCAAATGCTCTTTGACATGGCCTTGGATGCCATCTGGATGGAAAGCCTGAGACCTTGGTCTCTTCCACAAGTCCTTAGTCAGACCTGCCACATCCAGTTTGAGTAGGACATTTTGAAAGCCAAGTGGGTCGTGTACATGGGGCACTTGAAACCACAATTCCTAATTAAATTCAACAAGCAAAGCTACCTTGAGGCTTTCTGTGTGAACTCTGCTGGGGTGTGGGGACATTTCTTTCAGTCTAAGCACAACAGGAAAGTAATCTGTCCAGGCATGGCTATGATTCCTTCCCCATGGCTTGGCCCCAGCCCAAGACTGATCCCTGTGGCTGGCCCATCCCACTTACTGTTCATTCTCGTAGTACAGTTTTCCAATGGCCCAGGCGATGATGATGGGGCAGGGGACGCCTGCAAGGACAGACATGGGCTGCAGCAGACAGATGGACAGGGACTCTCTTGTGGGACCCAGGGCAGGAGATCATTTTTCTGCTCTTCCAACTACAGGACATCCACAACCCCAGGGGTGCCCTGTTCCTTGACTCTGCCCCCACTCAGCTATCCTCTCCAGACAGGGGATAGCATGACTTCTGGGATTCTGTGCTGGAGAAGTAGAGAAAGCCAGTTTCTCTTTTGAAGCTAGAAACAACTGTCTTTGGATTGGTCACTCTGGGCAGGAGGATGAAGGCCTTTGGAGTACACTTTGGAGGGATTCTTGGCTTCCTTCTCAGCATGGCGGAATCGCCATACCTGGGGTTGGGGTGCACCTGGGTTTGCGGTGGCAGGCAGAGCTGTGCTCTGGCCCTTGTCCCCAAGATAAAGGGAGATGACCTCATCAGCAGTGCCCCTCCCCCTAAGACCCCGCTGCCCTGGGATCCTCACACCATCCAATGAAGAGGAAGAGCCATTTGCGCAGGCGCTCGGTGGAATAGGTCATGACGATGGCTGTATGCAGGTAGCAGCCCTCCACGAGCATCCAGAAGAAGTTGGTGACCACGAAGTAATTGAAGATGGTAGTGATGCAGCGGCACCAGACCTGTATGTGGGCAGGGGTGGTCAGAGGCTGCTACAGGCTGTGTCAGGGTCAATTCTGCCCAGTCAGAGCAGCAAGGCTCAGGATCTCCCAAAGGGAGTTTTTGGATATGGCATTAAACAGCACCGCTCACTGAGAAGGTTCATCCTCCCTCGGCTCTCACACTCTGTGGGATGAAGTAAGAGGCCACTGTCTCTGGTGCCTGTGTGTTTTTACTCCTCTCTAACCTTTCCCAAGTTCTCTTTTTAATTAAGAAAGAGGGAGGCTGGTTCTGAGCTTTCTGCATCCAGAGACTGGGACTCAACAACATTGTTTTCGTTGTCATGTTTGGAGTCGCCTTCAATCCATACCCAGTGGGACTGGGTTCCATTTAAGGATGGAATATGAACTTTCATTTGGAAAAAATGAAAACATAGTGAGTGCAGTGAGAGGGGGAGGAAGCCAGGGAGAGATTCTCCAGAGCCTTTGGCTCTGGGTTTGGGGTGTTTGGAACTTGGAGTAATCAGCTCTAGCTCTGCAGGGAGCCCTGCTAGCTCCAGGGCCTTCCGTGCCCCTCTCGGTGCCTCACAGTAACTGTCCTGCCTTACATGGTAGGGTAGGAAATGAAGGTATGAAGAACTGTATGTGGTTGTAGTGGTTGCCATTGCTGTGATTTCCCTCCAGCAGAGAGGAGTCTGTCCTGTTCCTCTGAGCGAGGCAACCCTCTAAATCACCTTGCTTGAGATGCAGGGAGGGCATGAGGCTGCCCAGAGCCATGCTGTGAACCACACTGAGCCAGGGTCCAGGCTGCGGGCCTCTAGGCCTGAGCTTTCCAATAGCCCCTACACGGTCCTCTTTATCCTGGGTTCGTCCCCAGAGCACCTTCAGAGCCAAGGATGGGATGTAGAGAATGGTGGAAAAAGCAGGTTTGGACATGAACCAGTTGGGCATCAGAGCAGTCATGGGAAGGCCTATCTCCTCCCTGTCTGGCTCTGACATCCAGGCTCCTGGGTTACCCCACTGTGCCAAGCTGCTAGCTGCTTTGGGCCTTTGCCCTATGGCTTCAGCCCTGACCTTGGGCCCAGGCAGCTGCTGTCTCCTTCCTTCTAGAAAGTCCTGCTGATTTGGGAGGCTAAGAATTCCCTTCTCCTAACCCTGCCTTTTGTGCAAGTCAAGTGATATCTCATCAAGACAAGCCAATATTGGGGCCTGACATCTCATTGCACCTGCTTGGCCCCAAGACAAGATTCAGTGCTCAGAGTCAGGCTATTGAAGAAAATAGACTGAGCAACCTCTAAGGGTGTGCCAAAGATCTCGGTTGGCCCCATTCTAGTCTGCAGTTTTGCAGTGACTTAGACACAGCATAGTAGCGGTTGACACAAATCCAGGGTGGACTCCAACATGTGGGGGTCCCATGATGTGGAGGCATTATTATAGCAATGTGACCTTGGCAAGTCACTTGACCTCTCTGAGCCTCAGTTTCCATGTCTGTGGAGGGCGTAACACTCCTTCCATTCTCCCATTGGGACCACATGAGACAGACTTCAGCAGAGGTTACTTCCAGTTCCCTTCTTTCTGACGGAACCAAGTTAGACAGATGGGGGAAGAGAATTGGAAAAAACCACCTGGCATCAATTGTGTGCAGCTCCCAAAGCCTGACCTACAGCTCTGGCCCCACCTCCTGACCCTGTTGGGCCACTGACTGGGGTGGAGGGGAGCTCACATCTGGTTTTGCCACCAAGTGTCAAGCAAAGAGGTGAGCACCCCTAGAGTCTGGGGTCCCAGCCCAGCTCCTCACTCCCCAGCAGTTACCTCATTGCTCTCGTGCACTTCGTGGTCAATGAGCTGCAGCAGGAACCACATGGCATTTCTCAGGATGAAGGTGCTGATGAGGTTCCAGTGGATCACGTTCCGCAGGCAGCGGATGCTCCTATGGGAGGTCAAGGTCAGCCAGGGTCAGAGCTCAGATGGGGCTGAGACTAAGGGTCAGCTAGCGTTGAGGGTCTTCTAGGACTGGACTCCCCCAAGCCAGATGGAGACTTAGCTTGGGGTGAGGGCAGGGCTGCACTGGAGCCAATTCTCCTCTCCACCCCCAGTGGCCACAGTTGGCTTGCTTTGCTCCCCCTTCCCCCCCCCACCCCCACATGCCTGCTGGTGGTCAGTACCCTGACACCTGGCTCAGTGCTCCTCTGCCCACTGGCTCTGGGCCCCAGAGTAGAGGAGACTACGTGGGCAAAAGGAAGACCAGGAGAAAGCAGAGCAGGAGGCAGACTCACCGCAGCACCAGGAAAAGCAGGAAGGCGGCCACCAGGGCCACCACAGAAACACAGTGGCCAAGGTAGTTGACAACAAGGGCAATGCGGTAGTGCAGGTCATACTTCCTCTGCTAGACAGACAGACAGACATGGGCAGATGGAGGCACTGGTGCATGGGGGTGGGGTTGGGCACTCCAGCCATGATCATCCCTGTGTGCCCTGACCTTGGTCACACCATGCCTGGATCCTAGAGTTTAGTCCTGTTAGCCCTGGTGGCTCTTGTGATTATAAATGGCTGTGGTCAGGTCTCCCAACATGCATTTAGGGGGCACATTTGAACATGGTCTATTCTGAGATGTCTCAGAAATGTAGGTACAAATGAAAAAAGAATCTAAACTCTCTAATGCCACATCTGGGTTTGGTCTTTACTCAGACCCCAGCTGACTAAGCAATGGAGGGTGAGTTTATGCATTTCTCTGGGCCTCAGTTGTGACACCTCTATAACAGGGCCAACCTAATAGAGGGAGGGGGAATAAAAGAGAATGATGGATGGGGTGAATTTAACTATGATATATTGTAAGAACGTTTGTAAATGTCACAATGTACCCCCAGTACAACAATATGATAATAAAATAAAATAAATTAAATTGGAAATGGTGAAAAAAATGGGGGCAACCTATCCTCTTACCTCAGAAGCACTGACCTATGAGAAATCTGGGGAATGGGCTGGGATTGCTCTTCCCTGAGCACAGCCATGGGGGAGGTCTGCAGAGCATTTGGGAGTACTAGTCAAACTGGGTCTTGGTTTTAAGTTTTTCTTTTTTTTTAAAGAAAAGATTCTATTCAAACTGAATAAAAGTCAGTTCACTTTTTATTATTGCCAAGTACTGGCAATTCTAAACAATGCCAGTGATAAAAGACCCCTCCCTTCCTGACAGGATGGTTCACACCCCCAACCCCCATGCACATTGTTCACCAATGTTAGAGCAGCCAGAAGAATGGCCAATGAGGGCAGAGGGCTGGCAGGAGCCTCTTTCTCTCCAAATCTTATGCCCCTCCTGCCTGCCCTAGAGCCATCGGGCTCACATTTGCTAGCATTACTTTCTCAGGACAGACAAATGTTTTTGCCTCTGTACTTGGACTTCGTCTGAGGAGAGAACCCAGCCCCACTGAGGACTGCATTAGGCAACTGAGGAGAGGAATGCATCTGGGACACACCATTTTGGGTGAAAAGTGAGGCACAGCTTGCTGGGGACTCAGCACAGTGTTAGAGCTTGCCCAGGATGTGGGAGGCCCTGGTTTCATCAAAATAAAAGGACAGGGAGAGGGAGTCTGGATCCAGGGCAGCACAGGTTTCACTTTCACGGTTGGAGAGGCTCAAGCAGGATCCAGATCCCTGCAGAGATGGCCCTAGTGGACGGCACTGGTTCCACGGGGAGTCAAGTCAGAATGGCCAATGGGATACTGCGGCTCAGAGGAGGAAGGAGTGTGCTTGCAAAGCCACGGTGCCATTAGGTGTCAGGAAGCACCGCTCACATGGCCGATTTCTGTGTTCCAACCCACCACAGATCTGTCTCCCACCAGCCCAAGTTCTCCTAGAGGTGGGACTCCATGCCCCCTTCCTGACTCCCTCCACAGTGTTATACAGCACAGAGCAGAACATGGGCAGGGGCAGGAGGTACAGAAAGAAGTGGGTATGTGGCACAAGGACCAGTTCTGCTATTGTTGGGATCCACTGTGCTGAACCTGAGTCTGTATGAGGACCAGGGTTGGAGCAGGTAAGGCCACTCACCTTGTCATCCAAAATGGGCTCACATTGTGAGTAGTTGATTCTTGAGGCCCATGTCCCATTCTCCAAGCATTCTCGGTAGGCATTCCCTGCAGAAGATGCCAACTGCCAAGAATCAGGTCACTCCCCTCCTCACGAACCCTCCCTGGCTCCCTGATGCCTACAAGATGAGGTCCACACTCCTTAGCTCCCCTGGGCCCCAAAACATAACACATGTCTAAAAGCTTACACGAAAGCCATTTATGAGAAAATTGCACAAAAGACTTGCATGCAGCTAAAATGCACACTAAAACCCATTTTAGACATAATCTTTGGTTCTTTGTACACTTCCTTTCCTTTTGTTCCTTTGCTACAAAATTGAACCCAATTGTGAGCAATGGATTGTGGCTGAAGATGTGCTTTCAGCACAACAAGTAATTTCCATCTTTGCCTCCATCACTACATTTATGAGTCCCATCCTTCTTTTCACCAATGAAGAGCCCTTGCATTTTAACAATAGCTGCCATTTACATAGCATGTGTTTCCATGGTCCAGGTCCTCTTTTGGCTGCTGCTAGTGGACAGTGAAGTAGGTACTGATGCAGCATTAACTCACTTAATAGAGGAGGAAACTGAGGCACAAAGAGATTAGGCTATTTGCGAAGGATGCAGAGGGACAAGAGGTTTCAAATGCAGCAGGATTTGTGTACTTGACCTTAGGTTCCCGGTTGTAGTAAACAGGAATGAAGGACATGTGGGGACCCCAGGGCTGTGCTCCTGCTCTGAGGCTGCCCTTGCCCGGAAGACACCTGGTGATGTCTTAGTGCTGAGGGCTAGCATCCACATTACAGGTAAAGTGTGACATGTGACAAGACATTTTGGGGCAGCAATGTATGATGTACAGCAGTGCAGGTTTTCCCAAAGGGAAATGTATGAATGTTGAAAACGCTCATGTCTAGCAATCAATCCTAGTTCTGACCATAAAGGTCTAGTTCCAAAGCTCCCCCCTTCCAGATAGCCTACCTAAAACTTTCCTGCTGAGACACTCCAAACCCTTTACCTGCTCTGCTCTGCATCACAGCATTAGCACGCGCTCCACCTCCCAAACCTGAGTACAATTCTGAAGAAGCCATTGTTTGGGGGTGATTTGTATTGGGGTTCTGCAGTTGTTTGTGGGTTTTTCTTTTTGGCTATGTTAGATATACAATATAAAGCTAATTAAAATAAATAGCTCATAGAGCTCCGAGTCACAGAGCTGGAGGGGAACTTCATATTGTTTTTGGAAGCAGTGAGTTCTGAAATAATCAAGTTACTTAAAACCCCACTTCCGCTGAGCCGACAGTGAGTTAAAAGCCATGGAACTATTAAGGAGCACTTGCTGAGGAGCAGAACAATGGGGGAGATTCTATTAGCTTAATTATTCTTTAATTTGGTGCTCCAAGCTCATAGATTTTTTAAACTTGGGCTTGTTACTGGCCTAGTTCTGCCCCCAGGGCCTGTCAGTAAGAGGTCCATCTCAGGCAAGATCCACTGTACTAGTCATGGGACTGTCCAGTCTCACCCTAATTCTGTCCCTCAAGAAGGGTGACCTATCCCTCACCCCTGCTCCTGGCACTTGACCCCCCAGGTGACCTTGGAGAATCTGATGCCTAGGACCTCAGCAATGCTCCTAAATGGGATGGGCTATCTCAACATGCCAGGGCAGGAAAGTTGCTGGATGAAGGAGCAGAGGTGTCTTGGATGGATGGGTCCTTTTGCAAAATCCCCCAGCCTCTTTTTGATGGGGCTCTGAACAGGTCTGTATGAGGTGAGATAGGCCCTGATCCTGGCTGTGGTTCAAGGCCAGAAAAAAAAGTCTCCCTGGAAAGTGGTCACAAGTGTTATACAGCTTTCCCAAAGAGGGCTAGGCCTCTTTCTCCAGGAAGGTCTCCATGACTACTTCCATTTCAGTGCACCCCCCAGTCCTGACCACCTGGACCTTACACTCAAGCCCTTTCTCATGACAGCCCTCAGTGGTCCAGATGCATGAGTTGGTCTCTGGCAAGTGTGGGGACTCACTGAGGTCAGGGCCACTGGAAATGGGGGCAGGGGGAGTATCCAGATGGAGATGCTGAAAGTCAGAGACTTTTTCTATCCTCACACCAATGCCCCTAGGGTCTCTGCTCCATGGAGTCTATCTTCTCCTTTCCTTTTGTTCTGGACTCCAGCACTCTCTCTGGCCCTCCTGCCTGGATTGGCACAGCAGCCTCCTCTCTTACCTTCCTGCTTCTTCTGATCCCCCAACTGTGCTAAATCCGGCCATCAGTGCCTCTTTATTGCTGTCAATAATAATGTCCAAATATCTTGGCATGACATTCAAGGCCCTCAGCATCTGGGGCCATGTCTGCCATTCCACAGGGCAGCTGTCCTTTGTACTAACAGGCTGGTACCTGCCCAGCTCTGTGCTGATCCAGCCCTTAACACACTCTCCTCGCTGTCACTGACTGCTCATAAACTCCTACCTATCTTCTAAACCCCAGCTCAAATGCCTTATGGGGCCTTCTGCAGCACCCTAGATCTGACACAATCTCTTCTTTTTTTTCCTCTAGGCACCTTCTCTATATATTGCCATTTCTTGAATCATAGACCTTCACATTTCATTGCCCTTGAACTACAGTGACACATTTTTGTATCATAATTCAACATACATACATGCTTGAACTCAGTTTCAAAAAGCAAAATTGATCTTGACAACAGCTATAATGTTTTTCTTTCGATTCTGTTTTAATATAGTCTAGTCATTTCATATAGAAATGTTGGTCGTGACCCCTATATTGATTTCACAGACCACTATTGTCCCACAATCATACTTTTAAAAACAAAAACCTATTTTAGAGCTTTTTCCATGATTTGCTATGGACTTTGTCTCTTGGATCCTTTTGTTTGGAATTGGGCTTGAGCTTCCTGGGGACAGACAAGTAGGCAGAGACCATATTGGCGTCATCTGGTCTCCCCTCAGGAGTAAGCCATTGAGTCCATGTGGGCTCGGTTGAACTGAATTCTATCTGCTGAAACCTTCATCTGCTGAAATTTGCAAATCAGGGTCTGAGATGCAGCATGTGGAGGTGGGAGCAGCTTCCCTCTGGGGACCCAACCCTGCCCAGGGATGAGATTCTGGCTATAAACACTGGGCACCAGACAACTGGAAGACAAATGTGCCTGCCCTTTGAGGGAGCTGTCTGCTGCAGCTAATGAGGGCGCTGAACCCTCATGCACAGCCTTGGACAGGAGAGAGGACAAGCCCTGCTGTCCAGCCCCCATCAGAACCACAGAGGATGGGCATGGAAAGTCTGAAGGCAGATGGCCAGGCCAGCATTATGGGGCTGGTTGCAGTGAGATGGGTGCCTGTTACCACAGCAACACAGGTTCCTCTGTGGAGGATCGATGCTGACGGTGTGCGGTGTGGCCTGCCAGCAGCATTAGGGTCTGGATGATGCAGACAGGGTCTTCTCTTGCATGGCTCTGTGGTTTAGGGAGCCTGGTCCCTATCCCCAGAGTGGTGTCAGCCTGTTGAAAGAACCCAAAGCAATGTGCTCTCCACCCTTAAGGTGACAACACTTTTATAATACTTCCTAGTTCCGGGACTCACCTGGGTGGTCCAGAACCCTGACTGGGAGGTGGGGGTCTATTGTCTAGCTGTAGTTTTGTCTCTGGTTGGCTAGGTAACCATGGCTATGGTTCCCTCTTGACCTCAGTTTCCTCTCAGCAAAAGTCATTTACATTGATTCTCAGTGATGCTACTGGCGTCTCAGGTGACTCAATTATTTGTGGAGTGGGACCTTGCAGTCTACTAAATGCCAGTGGATCTCTAAGCCATTGTGACAACTCCAAACATCTGTTTACCACTTGCAAATGCTCCCTGCCTCTGAAGGACATGGGAGATAAGGGCCATTATGAACCTTTTTTTGGTGGTAGTTTTAGAGGAAAGAGTATAAGACACAGGTTGGGCACAGGGGAAAGAGTGAGACTGGTTTGGGACAGCAATGTGCTCACTGACTATCTGGAAAGAAAATGACAAGATGAGGGAGGAAGGTGGAGAGAGCCAAAAGCAACATTTACTGAGGGAAGGAGACCAGCACCCAGGTCCAGAACTTTCAGTACCACGGACAGCGAGACTCTGAGGCCTCCTGCCCTTCACTATCTCTGCAGGTAGTAGACCTTGGAGAGCTCCTGCAAGTACCCCCCTCTTAGCCTGCACTCAGACCATTGGGCTGGGTCCAATCCAAAGATGTCAAGCTAATTCATCTCTCTCTCTCTCTCTGTCTCTTTCTTACTTACTTTTTTTTTTTCAGTACTGGGGTTTGAACTCAGGGCCTTGTGCTTGCTAGGTGGGTGCTCTACCACTTGAGCCACTTCACCAGCTCTTTTTTGTATTAGGTATTTTTGAGATAGGGTCTCTAGAACTATTTGCCTGAATTGGCTTCAAACTTTGATGCTCCTGATCTCTGCCTCTTGGGTAGCTAGGATTATAGGTGAGAAGCACTGGTGTCTAGGTTTTTTTTTTTTTCCCTGGTATTGGAGTTTGATATCAGGGCTTCATGCTTGCTAGACTGGTACTGTATCATTTGAGCTATGCCTCAAGCCCTGTTGTCTTTCTTAAGGCCCAGAGTCAGCCCCAGTTCTTCCAGGTGACTTTCATGATAGCTGCAGCCCCCTTAAGGGTCCAGCTGCTCACTTCTGCCTGGCTCACCCTGGGATGGATTGTTCTTTTTTACCCTCTTCTGCTGTAAAGGCAAGGCCCTTTCATAAGGGCCAGAGTTGAGCATGCTGGGTCTTCAGGATGGACCACAGATAATCCTGTTGCCTAGGTTGCTGGAGAACTCAATGAGGGTGAGACGCTCAGGGCAGACAAAGAAGATAGTCTGCCACCAGCAAGCTGCATGGCAAAGACAAAATGGGCACACACACACACACACACACACACACACACACACACACAGGAGGCATCTAGATATTTCATATACTCCACTGATATGTCAACCCGTCCGTCAGAACTTCAGCCACTATAGGTCAACCCCATGTCAGGAAGGGGTGTCAGTCTCAAACAGAAAACCTGTGGGCAGCAGTCTCCA